GGGTATCTGGTAACAAGAAAGGGCATTGAGGCCAGCCCAGACCAAATCAAGGCCATCCTAGAGCTGAAGAGCCCAACGTCGGCAAAACAGGTTCAGATGCTTACTGGAAGGGCCGCAGCCCTAAACAGATTCATCAGCAGAAGCTCAAATAAGTGCAGACCCTTCTTCAACCTGGTGAAAAAAGCCACAGACTTCCTGTGGACAGAAGAATGCGAAGCCGCTTTGACCGACCTAAAGAAGTACTTGACCACAACTCCGGTTCTTTCCAATCCAGAACTAGGGGAAGAACTGTTTTTGTACTTGACAGTTTCAGAATACGCAGTCATTGCAGTACTAATCCGAGAAGAAAAAGGGGAGCAAAAGGCTGTTTATTATGTAAGTAAAACCTTGGCCGATGCAGAAACAAGGTATCTACCACTGGAGAAATTAATGCTAGCCTTAGTAATAGCTTCAAAGAAGTTGAACCATTACTTTCAGGTGCACAAGATTGTGGTCTTAACAGAGCATCCACTGAAGTCCTTGTTACAGCAAGGAGACTTAACAGGAAGGATAGCAAGATGGGCCGTAGCCCTAGGACAGTATGACCTGGAGTTCAGGCCGAGAATAGCAGTTAAAGGCCAAGTTTTGGCCGACTTCGTGGCAGAATTCACCCCCGAAACCATCGAACATCGGGCTCCGTCGAGCCAGGATGAGCATTGTCCCAGCAAGCAAGGAGAATCCCAGCCAAAGGCAAAAGAGCAAAGGAAGGAAAAACTTAGACCCTGCAGCATCTACATCGGTGACTCATTCAGACTATTCGTCGATGGAAGTTCGAATCGACAAGGAGCGAGGGCAGGAGTACTGCTAATATCTCCAGATGGAGAAATAATAGAACAGTCCATCCGTTTGGGGTTCAAGGCCTCAAACAATGAAGCGGAATACGAAGCATTAATTGCAGGGCTACAACTGGCAGCAGCAGCAGAAGCAGATGAGGTAATAGTTTTTTGTGATTCACAACTTATTGTTAACCAGTCAACAGGTGAATTTGCAGCCAGGGACGAAAGGATGTCGGCATATGCAAAAGAGGTCATCAGATTGGTAGCCCTATTTCAGAACTGCCGACTACTCCAAGTTAGCCGAGATGACAACACCCACGCCGACGCGTTGGCTAACTTGGCAAGTTCAATGCAGACTGGAAAAATAAGGACAATTATGATCGACTATATGTCGGGCCCGAGCATAGAACTAGAGAACACAGAGCAGCAAGCAATGTGTGTGGACATGAGGCCAAACTGGATGGATGCAATTGTTGCATTCCTGAAAGAAGGAAAGCTGCCAGAAGATCGTAAGGAGGCACACAAAGCAGACTGAAATCGGCAAGATTCTGTCTGACAGAAGATGGACACCTCTACAGAAGGTCCTTCACTGGACCACTTTTAAGGTGCGTACACCCTTTGCAGGTTGAAGATTTCCTATATGAAATTCATGAAGGAATTTGTGGAAGCCATGCTAGGGGCAGATCATTAGCCCACAAGGCCATTACCCAGGGGTATTTGTGGCCCTACATGTAAAAGGATGCTGAAGCCTACGTAAAGAAGTGTGAACAATGCCAAAAGTTTGCACCTTTGATACATCAGCCAGCTGCTGACCTAAACCCAGTGTCCAGCCCTTGGCCGTTTGCTCAATGGGGCATGGATCTGGTTGGGCAACTTCCCCAGGCAACTGGGTAAAGAAATTACTTACTGGTGGCAACATATTACTTTACAAAATGGATAGTGGCAGAACCTCTTGCCAAAATCCGAGATGTGGACGTCAAGAACTTTATATGGAGAAACATCATCACCAGATTTGGGATTCCAAGAGCAATAGTTGCCGACAACGGAACACAGTTTGACAGCAAACTCATCAAGAACTTTTGTGCGAAATTCAAGATCAAGAATTACTTCTCAACACCAAGTTTTCCCCAAAGTAATGGGCAAGCAGAAGCATCCAACAAAGTAATTTTGGATGGAATAAAGAAGAGGCTGCAGGTAGTAAAAGGAAAGTGGGTAGATGAGTTGCCTAACGTGCTTTGGGCATATCGGACTACGCCGAGAACATCAACAGGGGAATCCCCCTTCGCCATGGCGTATGGCACAGAAGCTGTCATCCTATTGGAGATCGGCATCCTAGGGATCAGGACCTAGGGAATAGAGAATGGCACCAACGGCATACTCTTACCCCGGGATCTGGATCTTTTGGAAGAACGAAGAGAAAAAGCTGCAATTCAGCTCGCAGTATACCAGCAACAGCTTGCCAGAGCTTACAATAAGAAGGTCAATCTAAGAGATTTTCAAGTCGGCGACCTAGTCCTGAGAAAAGTCGTCGGCAACAAGAAGGATCCCAGAGAGGGCAAGATTGGCCCAAATTGGGAAGGACTGTACAGAATTACTTCGGTATTAGGCAATGGAGCTTATCGGCTTGAAGATAATGAGGGCAAAGCACTACCAAGACCTTGGAACACTTGTAATTTGAAATTCTTCTATCATTAGATATGCAGTATTTTTGGCCGATGTCATCAATAAAATCCTTTTCCTTTTTCTTTAAAACACATACGATTGAAAAAGTTACATTTCAACAGGAAGAAGACATGAATAATGAGAACCCAAGTAGAACTCAGGTTCACATTGGGGGCAGAGAGAAGACAAAAACATTTAATTCACTTGTTGAAATTTGTAACAATTTACAAGTCGAAGTTAAGTCGAGATTATTCCTTAATTCACTTGTTGAAATTCAAGAACGGCCTGAAAGATGACTGCCCACTACGGAA